GTGCCGCGCTCCTGGCCGTGCTCCCACCCCAGGTAACTGCGCCGCGGGGAGACGCGGCCGCCTTCCGCAGAGGATGATGGGTTGGGCTGATGTGTGGGGCTCCTTGGTTCAGGACCGACCTAGCTATCCGTAGAAACTCCCGGACAAATCACTGTGTCATTTCCGACGAGCGTGCCCAGTCTTTCTGTTTCTTCCCTCAAAAAACAGATGGCATAAAGTCTCTTCAGAATTTTAACAGCTTCATGGGCCAGGCCCTCTACTTACTCGAGTTTGTGAGTTACTGTCGAGTTCAGTATTGCTTTTCTGACTGCACCTCAATAAGGACTCCAGTATCCATGATGAAAACTTGATCATTCAAAGTTCAACCGTTTCTGTCATTCAGGAGGTCTTAAAATGCCTTACCACCGTGATTAAAACAGGTATTTTTTTAAGCACAGTGTTGCTTTTACCACATTGAGAGAAAAATGGAGCGATTTCCTCATTTTCTTACAAAACCCCCAGTAGAACATTTGCTGTTCACCACTGTTTAGCTACGCTGTGCTTGCTTCTCCCTTAGTTCTGTACAGCTCACATGTAGTCCTGTTCAGCTGGTGACAGTCAACTTGGAACTCTTTCTGATCTTGGCGTTATTTTGCTGAAACAGAAGATCTGAACTATTAAAGGACTTGCATTGCAGATAGTTTAGTAAGCGATTGTTGTGCTCTGAGAAAATCAGCATGCCATTATTGACTGCAAAACAGTTAAACCTAAGCTGTGCAAGTATCATTTGCAGTTGGTAAATGATCATTTGCATTTGGCAAATAATTTTGAAAACTTCGCAAACAAATCGGAATCAAATCTACTAAGTCGACTTACAGGTCGCAGTCCAATTCAGATGTTTAGTTGTGACATGTCAACCTTTTGGTGGCTTGACCACCACTTTTCTCGTGGAAAATTACTTGAGCTGGTCAGTACACACTAAGGATGTCTCAGTATCAATCAGGATAAAGTCCATGTTACATATCACAGCTGACTTGTAGCAGGGGGAAGGCCAGAAGCATAAAGATGAGCAGGCCAGACTGATCTGCCAGGTAGTGGATCAAATACGTAGTGGAAAGGTTGTTAATAGAGATCAGTTTTCCAGTCCAGTTAGCCATGGAGTAACAATGTGGATGAATTGCTTACTGGTAAATTTAGAGTGATGGTCACTGAAACTGCCTCCAAAGACAAACCTTTGATATGAGAGACTTCAAATCATGCATGCACTCACTATAGAAGAGGTAATGACAGAAGTCAAAACTTTGGTTGTAATCAACTTCATGATTTCTTTTTTAGGCTGTGTACTAGGTCTTCATAGTGTGGTGTATTTTTTGTTTGGATTGAGAGCACATTTAAGTTTTAAAGAGCATTAAATGACATTTTGGAAGCAGTTGGTCCAGAACCGTGACTGTGACTCAGAAATGAAGGAGAAGGAGGGCAGTTGAACAGAGACAAAGGGAGGAAAATCAAGACTCTTGAACAGATAGCTGAAACAGTTTTGAACGTGAGGTAAACATAAGCCAACTTCATAACCTTCTAAATAATTTTAACTCATAAATTAGTTATTTACAGACTTCATGAGTTAAAGATTTTAATGGGCGTGCCCTTATGCACAAGGTCGTGTGTTGATTTGGTTTAGGAATTGCTGGTTTCTGCATTTTGCAGATAAAACCAGGCTTGTTTAGCCCAGAGAGCTGACTGCACATAATTCAGCTGCAAACCAGAAACCTTAATCTCTGTGCAGACTTCATTTTTGTCAGCCCAGTGCTGTAGTAATGCACTTACGGATACCCATTTCAGTGCTAGCTCATTCCTAGGCTATCTCCTTTTGGCTAGCGTAGATATAATCCCTGGATGCCGAAATAATGTGTTAGGACTGCTGTAGCTCATAGGGCAGTAACTGCCTGCAACCAAATTCTGGAATCAAAACCCATGAAATTTCTAAATTATTTACTCCCTGCTCAGATGTAACGCTGCTTCAGGCTTCAGAGCTTTAGCTTCTCTGTTTTCTCCACTGAGAAATTAAAAATGTACAACCTTCAAGTCAGAATGTAGAAACAGATGCAACATATGTGTACTTCAACCAACCAACACTGGCCTCCTTATCAACTGTAAAAGGTAAATTGACTGAGGCATCAGTAAAAACATATTTACAGATGACAAGCCAGTAAGTTTGTGGTTGGTTGGGGAATCAGAGACAAGTACTACAGGTGAATTCTGGGGAGGTGCTTGTCACCAAGACAGAACAAACATTGCCTTTCCACCAGATTTTCCAGTATTCTGTACTTTGAGCATGAATTTCCAGGTGCTATGAAAGTTTTGTACATTTTCTGAATGCAAGAATGCTTTGATTTCTGCACTTTCTGGAGGAAATAGAGACTTCTTTATGAGAGCTTGGAAGAATCTCACTGACAGAATGTCACTTGAAGTCTTTGAGCACTATCTACAATAGGAAGGAGTGGGAAACAAAACTTCTGTAAGTGGTTGTGGTAATCTTAACACCAGGCTTACCTTCTTAAAACCTCACTTTGCATTATGTACTTGCAGAACTATAGATGTGAAACAGTACAGTTCTGTGGTGGACAGAAAGGTAGGAAGACAGGGGTGCTTCAGCTGCAGGAAGAACTTTAATGTCTTAGTACTGGCATCTCGCTGCTGTTGTCATTGCAGTGACTTGTCACTGATGCTCAGAATTTGTTTTCCTTTGGTTTAGTATAGATTCCACAAATCTAAGTGTACTTCACGATGAGAATTTATTGCATCTCTTTCAATTTTGCTCTTAAACTAGCTGTAATTCCTCTGTAGAGCCCTGTCAAGTTTTCTTAAAGATCTTGTTTAAGGTCTTACTTGTTTAACCTGTCTCACAGCAGTACTGTAAATAAAACCAACTGTCAAGCTCTCACGCTAGCTTTTTATTTTCTTTTACAATACATTTCTGGCTTAGTTTCACATGTAGTTTCTGAGATTCCTGTATGGAGCTGTAATTCTCCTAAACCATTTATTGTTACTCAAAGCACTGGTCTTTTGTGCTTTTGTAAATATTAAGCAAATCAGAACTACTGGTTATCTTTACAATGAGAAGACAGTTACTAGATTTTAATTTCTTGTGTTAAGCACACTGCTGTTCAATACTGAAGCTTTAGTTCTGTGCTTTGATTTAGACACTGACCTTTATTCAGGTATTGTGGCAGTGTACTGATGTGTATAAGCCTTCAAGTGATACATAACTGATCTGTGTTAGATTGATGTGGCTGAAATGCAAAACACAACTTCATCGGGTTAATATGAACAGCAATTTTAAGATGAATTTTTATCATCAACTAAGTGATCTGTGTGGTAGGTGGGAAGGATGGGGAAAAGAGGAGTATGCTTAGGGGTTTTTTAGTGTGTGTCAGTGACAGTTTTTCTTTCTGAATGTGCTGTAGGGGTTTACTCAGGCTCTATAATCATGTCTGACTGCTCTCTACTAGGCAGAAGGTGAAGAAGATTGTCACTCTGATTTGGTAAGAACCGATGACAATGAAAGACCCGGTGAAGCAAATCTTCAGGTGTGTCCCTCATGCTAGTGTTTTCTTGCAAACATAGTACTGCTGTGATTTAAGCTGCATTACTTATGCTCATTTAGTTACCACACATTTGTTGATCTGACAGATGTTTAATCTGTCTACCCCTTCAAAACTGAAATACAAATTTTGCATTGTTTTCACAAGTGTCAGATTCAGTCTTCGGTTATCTATATAGATGAAAAGAAAGCTTGTGGCAGATCTGGAATTTCTTTAAAGAAGTGTAGAAATTGGACAGCAGTTTCTGTATTGGTCAAATTTCAGTTTAAGTTGTCATTCTCTTCTGGAGCAGAAAGTTTATAAAAGCAGTCTAATAGAAAAGTCTGTTCTCACTAGATTTCTGTGTAGTCGCTCCCAAGAAGTTTTGATAATTGTAAGAGATGTGTAAAGTGTAACTTCAAAGATGCTGAAAAAAATGCATAGCAGGAATTATAACTTACCTTGTTTCACAGAGCATAGTCCTTATTTTTTAAAAGAGAAAGGAGTTTAAGGTATTATTTGTATATTATGTAAATGACAGCCTTGATTTTTGTAAAGCTCAATGTGCCTGTGGACAAAAACTAGGTTTTCTAAGTTTTAATTTAAATAGTTAATTGACTTCTTGCTTAAGATAACTCTGCATAAACAAGAGCAAACATTATGTCTAGAAAATCTACTTTTCTATGGAGTCTTACATCACAGCTATAGTACTAACAATCACTTCTTGAAACATCAGTTTTTCTTCTGAGGAGAACAGGTAAAAGCACTGATCTTACTGGATGAGATTGAACAAGTATTTGTGCACTTTTTTTAATTTACTATAAAACAATTGTGAATTGTGTCTAAACTCGTGGAAGCTATTTAAGACTTGGAAGTGTGAAGTATAATTTTGAGATTCTTTTTTGTGTTTATAATTTCTCCTCAGAATATGTATTGGTTGAATAAGTGATACTAAGAATTAATCATATTTTTTAGGCAGAGCTCCAGATGTTCAGAGCTCAGTGGATGTTTGAGCTTGCCCCAGGTATGAGTTCTAGTGGGTTGGAACCTCTGCCATGCAGAGCATCTTCAAAAGGACCTGGAGTAAAGTCTGTAGATGCCAGAAGGAAACAGGAGATAGCAAAAGAGGAAAAGGTACAAACCCATAAATGTATAATTTGGGGATTTTTTTGTGTGTGTTAGGAGTGCAGTATAACTATCCTAAAAGCTAATGCTGAATTAAATATAGAGAAACAACAGAGGCGATTAACCTGTTGTCTCCATACAAATGTGTTTCCATAATCCTACACTGATTTTTCTAGTTTTTATTCTTGGCTTTGTGTCACCTTCCAAGTCTGCTTTCTGAAAGGCAGTAGGTACGGGGTGAGCAGTAGAAATGTAGATAGTTTGTTGATTGGGAATTTCAGTTACGGCTTGTAGCATATTCTAATTCAAGTGACATTGCACTTGTAAGGAGTTTAATAACTGTTCTGTGTAATTTGTTGTGCAGGCAAAAGAACTTTTCCTGAAGGCAGTGGAAGAAGAACGAAATGGGGCCCTTTACGAAGGTAATGTGAAAGTCTACAGTGAACATCTTTATTGTAGGAGAATCTAACCCTCTGATTTATGTGCAGAGCGGCATGATGCCAGTGAATTTAAACTGCAGGCTAATAGTAATTTGAGAGCTCAGTTACTCAGATAAGCAAACACGCTTGCTATGAAAGGAACACAGTTCTAAGGTTGAGGTGGAGCTAAAATCAGATCAAGAATATAATCTCTAGCTTTCAGACAAAACAACAGCATTTTGAAATCTGGAAATTTAATGAAGCACTGGATTGCTTCTTTATATAACATGCTGCTTCTTACGACTTTTGCAACATGAAATAAGCATAGTAATTAATCAAGGCAATATATTTCCTGTGCTCACAGTTTTCTTTATTTCACTTTGAACAGAACTACTTAACCCATGGAATGCTTTGTTGTTACATTGTTTGTTTTTTGTTTGTTTAATTTCCACAGCATGCTAAGATAGCTTCTTTAAGAATTCCTGAAGTGAATGTTTAAATCTGGTAGTCTTATGTTACGAGGTTTGCCATAAATATTTAAGACGTTTAGCTTGCTTGCTGTCTTGCTGTCAGCATTATTAAAACTTCAAATTCAAAATTTTCTTCCTCATATTTAGTTTTCATAATATATAGAGTAAAAAGCCCATTCTGACTTCAAGTCCTATAGGTCTGTAGTGGAAATACCAGTTTTCTATTTCTGCTGTAGCAAAAAAAAAGAAATGCAGAACATGTGTGTCATCCTGCTTGTCCACTAGAGGTTTTGGCCACCTTGGTTAAAGTGCAGGTGCAAAATATGTCAAGATACACACAACTCTGGGAGCTCCTGAACTCAGCCACCTGTCGAATACAAAATTTCCTCTCTGCCATGGGAGTTTTCCTTCCCTTGCAAGGGATTTCTGGTGGTTGTTCCAGATCTCAAATGAACTGAGTGAAATAAGAGTCCCCAGTAGGTAATAAAATTAGTTGGTTCAGTTTCTAATTTATTACATGTTTTTACAGGGCAAAATTACTCCAGGCTAAGGTATTTTGTGTGTTTGGTGTAGAAATAAATTCACAGTAAAAAAAAGACATCAGCACTATGTCTGGTATATAGCCTACCATATAGGAAATCATGCAGTAAGTACACTGTAAAGGTTTTCATACCAACAATTTCCAAGTAAATTAAAAAAAAATATGTGAGGAAAGCAGTCTATTTAAGCATTGTGTGTATAAAATGAACCGTACAGCTTCATCTGCTTGAGTGTACTCCTTGTATGTTAAACATAGCAGCAGAGAAGTAGTTACATCTAACAGTTGCTTTCACAATTGTTTTAGGCATCTGGATTGCATGAATATGAATCCATTCTTTCTCACTTGAATTTGATGAGACTTGAAGAAAAAAACTAAACTGTTGCTACACATACATCTATATGAGACCTCAGAGACAAGGTCCAGTGCCAGACACAGATGTATTACTGAGTGCATGTCAGGACGTCTGTTTTCAGTCCACACCTTTTAATCTGCTGACCTGGCTCAGGTCACCAGAATCCAAGTGGCATTTCAGCCTGCTTCTGAAATCTGCTGATAGCTGATGTATGTGAGACAGCTATGTGCAGCTGCTTGTTCATGTTTAAGTACAGTACAGTGTTGCTGCAAGATTAAATGCTAATGACACTGATCTCAGTTTAGCTGGCTCCTGGTATTCCTCATCCTCACCAGCCAAAGGATACTACTTGTCAGTCACCAGCCCTGAAATGAACTTGAAGAAATAGGAACACTTACTTGCCCCAAAGTCAAGCTTCTCAGACTCACTAGTGTGTTAAATTCTGAGCTCCACACTCATTGACATTTTATTTTGGGTTTTGTTTTTAAAGGTCCAAACTGAGGGAAAGTTGCCCTCTGATCACCATGTGGGAGTACAGAGACATGAATATATAGATGATGTGAACAGTGATATTAAAATGACAATATACATAAAATGAATCCACTTAAATTAAGAAGAATTCACAGAGTTAACTCAGAAGAAAAACACTCTGCAGCTTAAATAAAGGTTCATTCCCATAGGGTGATTTTCCTGGGCCTGTTTCTATACTTAGTGTTTGTAGCATCTTTGGAGTGTTAAAGGCAGAAGTACTTCTCTGTGTGCTAGAAGAAATCCAGTCTGTCAGTTTTACCTTCATATCCCATAGGCTTGTGCTTGCTATATAGGTTTTTGAGAAAGCTGCTTTCCTCCAGGTTCCTCACCCTCAGTGAAGTGGCTTGCTTCAGTGCTTTCTGTAGCTTCCAGAGTTTTGCTGCAGTAAAATTTACTTGTGTCTGTTGTTAAGTTTTAAAACTATAACACTGTTTTGTTGCTCTTTCTCACCTTTATAATGTTGTATATGTCTGAATGACTGCACTGTACAGGGATTTGAGGTACCTGCATCATCTTTCAAATTTGCTTTCATGGTTACTTATAAATATAGTGCCTAAGATCTTTGTGGCTTATTGAGAAAGCTTTGTAAGTGCTGGTCCACAAACAAAATCAGGACTTCGTAATGTTTTAGTGTAAAATTTTGTACTACATAATTGAATTAGTAGTAGTTAAGGTAAATCTGTAAAAGATGAAGTGCGTCTGAGAGAGCTCTTTTATTCTGGAAAAGTACATTAAATTTTTAGTTTTGAAAATAGGTGCTTAATATACCTGTCTTCTGTATCGAATTTAAACCTAATCAGTTTAGACTAAATAAGATTTACTGGGCAAAGGCATTTTCCACCTTTTTAATGCTTTTAGCTGAAGCCATCTCTGAAAAAAACCCTTTATTTTGATAAGCTAGTATAAGTATCAGACCTGTTTAAACATTAAGCCTTTATTTTCAGCCATCAAGTTTTATCGTCTAGCAATGCAGCTTGTACCTGACATAGAGTTTAAGATCACTTATACACGGTCCCCAGATGGTGATGGAGTTGGGAACAGGTGGTAAGTATGAAAATTTACTAATTAAGTGCATAGGAGTACTGAAACCTGAAATTTTGTTTCTGAAGCACATGAATGACCTGGTGTGCTACACAGTTGCAAGTTTCTCAACATTTGGAAAACTTATCCTCTTTCAGTTGAGTAGACTGCTACATAGAAAGTTTACAGATGCATTAGTCAAAGGAGGACTTTTCTATACTGTAGTTCAAAAAAGGTAACAGGCTTTTTTTTGCAGCTAGGTAAATTCAATGAAAGGTTTACAAACAGTTATGTTGTCACGTAAAAAAAAAAGAAAAAACATCTTTCACTTTATTACTTTTGATTTCTGAGTTGTGTTTTTTTACACATGTGGGATCATGTACAAAATTGTAGGTGGCAAAAAGATCAAATAGGAAAAGCTTTGTACCATGGAATGAGCATAGTAATTAAGCAAGGGAATATCCTACCATTCTTGTGCTGACACAGCCAATTGGGAGTGTTTTCAGTAAGTAGAGCAATATATTTAGAAGCTCATAGATTGAGTAGTCTGGTCTTTCCTCATTAAGAGCATCAGAATACCTCTGGCCTCAGCGCACCAGATGTGTAGCAGCTTAAGGCTGGCCTGACTTGAGCCCAAGACTTACATTTGAGGACAGGATTCGGGTTAGGGCCAAAACTTCTGTTATAGCTCAGATAGCATAGTGAAGACAAGCTTATGAAACAGACCTTTCCAATTCACTGCTTACTGGTAGCAGTCATAGGTACTGCTTATAACTACAAGAAATCAAGAGTTTTAAAACTGAGGATATAAGAGGAAAGTACAATCATGTTCATGCGGTATTACTCACTCAGTCTTGTTGCCCTAGGGCATGACAGCTTAAGTGCAGTAGTTGACTCAATATAAAAGAGAGTAATATGAGCTAAGTGCTTTCTTTTCTCTAGTTTCAAAACTAGCATGAAGTCTTTGTTGTGCATTTGTGCACTAGGGAAAATCCTGGATTATAAACTACAGTCATATAAAAATCTTGTTTTCCTTAAGATTATTTTCTTCTTGCAGCATCATTTTCCTACTCTCTTAAGCCTCTGTGACTCTGGGGGTGTTGATCTGCTTGAGGGTAGGAAGGCTTTACAGAAGGATCTGGACAGGTTAGATAAATGGGCTGAGGCCAGTGGTATAACATTCAGCAAGGAGAAGTGCTGGCTCCTGCACTTGTGTCACAACAACCCCATGCAGCGCTGCAGGCTTGGGGTCACTCTTCAGTGAATAACGCAGGAGTAAAAAAAAAAAAGAAAAATCCTTATTTGTTTTCAGTATCTTACATTGTGACAAAATGCAACTTCCTGTCAGTTATAATTTATTCCTGAATATGGCTTATCTTAGAGAAAGTAAAAGAGGAAGCTTGTCTTTTAATGGAATCAAGCAATTCTTCAGTGACTTCACTAAAAACAGTGAACTCTTAAATACAAAAAGAAACAGGAATTGGAATTAAATCAAAAAGAGAATTGTTACTGGCAGATGGATTCCAGCAAAATCTAAATGAACTTGGTAAGATTGCAGTAGTTGTTTTATTGTATGATGAAATGAGATCACTTTAAAAACTTACAGGAAACAACTATATTAAATAAGGGTAAGACAGTGGGTTGATGTAAAAAGAAGGATATCTGTTGGTATGTTTTGGTCAGTATTGGCATTTGATCAGTGTTGGCATTCCCCCTTTTCTAGTGTCGAGGATAACAAAGAGGATGACAAGATGGCTGATCTCCTGTCTGATTTCCAGCAGCAGTTGACTCTTCAGGAATCTTCAGTCAAACTTTGTCAACCTGAGGTTGATGTCAGCCAGACCCATATCTCAGGTATGAGTTAAGATACACTCAGTGTAAGAGTTCAGTTTCATGTTTCACTCTATTAAAACATGTCTCCTTCATTCTAAAGCCACCTTTAAAGAAATGCATGCAGTATCTATTTACTTTTATAGTTAGATGTAAAGGAAAAAAGATCATCGACTACCAAAACAGATCTTGTTCTCATACATGGTTTTGCCTTTATTGCACAAACTTTTCTATGTAGTACTACTACTAAGTAGAATTTTTCAGGATCAGAGTCATACTTAAAAGTAGCAACTTCTAGGAACACACTTGCTGAAGTAAGCGTATTGCAGTTTTCCTTCCAGTTAATGTTTGAAAAAGTAAAATGTAGGTTTGTTTTTTATTTGTTTCCAAATGCTTGTCAGAATTCTGAAGTGCAAGTAAGAGACAATTGTTCTGTGAAGACTATGCATCTTTGCATTTCCTGTTTTATCTGATTCTGTATCAGATCTTTACAACAAATATGTTTTCAGGTTCAGCAAAACTATATAACATAGCCGGAAAGACTTTTGCAGGTTAAAGCTTTTCAGTACTTTAATTCTAGGACAGTCATCCTGAGACTTCCTTGCAAGATCTAAATTGTACAGAGTACAAAATCGTACAAAAAGTTACAGACTCTCTTAAAATCAGGTGCTGATTCACATCCCAAATTACCAGCTGTTCTTGGAAATCTTACTCTAATCTCCTCTGTTCTGCTTAAGGAAGGAAAATAAAATAAACGTAGCAAGCTGTTAAAGCATAAATTTTAACAACTGTGCCATTGTACACATGGGAAAACATCTTTTCCTTTTTTTTGCCAGTAAAGTCAATATGTTGTAGACATTACTGTCAAATGATCTCAGGAGATGTCTGTTGAGCAGCAGTCTTGGTCTCATTCTAGTTACATTTTCTGCCTTCCTGCCAGTCCTGTGTTACAATGTGTTGTTTACTGACTGTTTTTAACAGAATGAAAACTGTTAAAATCATGATGCCTGCTTCAGAAGTTGGTAGGCTAGAAAAGATTCCTCATGGTCATCACAGTAGTACAATAGTCACAGAATTCAGCAGCCCAGGGAAAATTGTAACAGTGTGAACTAACAGATTTGGTTGAATTGGTTTTCTGTGTTCCATTTTACATTTTATTGACATTCATAATCTTGGAATGCTGGTTAACCCTTAGTACAGAACAGTATCAGACCTCTGCTATGTAACTGACATACTGAATATATTTACTTCCCCTCCCTAGTACATGAGCAATTTTTCATAGTAGTTTTGTTGTTGTTGTTTTACACAAATAAAGCTTAGGACCAAGATACCATTCATCACCAGAAATACTATAATATTTTCTCTACAGTGTGTGCCCCGCATCTGAAGCAAAGTGTCTTAATGATCTTTACTAGAAACTTAGAAACATGGATGACAAGATAGATAATCAAAGGCTTTGGCTGATAGTGGCTATCAGAATGGAAGATGTATACCTGTTAGCACTAGTAAGAGATTTTTAATCCTTTGCATCCCCCATTCTCCAAGGCACTAAGAGTTCACATACCAAAGAGCTCATAAGTTGCCAGAGACTGTTATGTACCTTGTAGCAATAATCTGCGCAACTGTTTTTTATACTGCAACATTATTTTAAGGGTTACAAATACAGGCAATAGAGCAAATTTATGATTTCTCAATAACAAAACATAGAATTAAGTCAGATTCATGAAACGAGATGTGTGTTGAATACAGAAACTGGTGTACAGTGAGGTTATGTACTTTTTATCATATTGGTATTCTGAAATGTGAAACTTAAGTTTCATCAAATTTTATAGCAAAACCAGTGTCATTGAATCTGTGGGAATGCACCAGTGCAGTTCTTCAAGAAGCACATTTTTTCACTAAAAATCAGAATTCTATTAAATTGCAGTCTCTACCATGGTATTTACAGCTAGTTACTGTTTAATGTACCTTTGTGCCACTCAGCTGCTTTCTCCTCATTATCTTGTATTACATTAGAAAAAGTCTTACAACAGTGCTGTGTGATAGCATTTTCAATCACTGGACCTGTACCACAAAATATAGAGTGATATCATATCAATTTCATAGTGGATAGGTTGGGCTTAGGACCTCCTATCCAGTACTGACCCTGACCTGAGCTTATTTAGCTTGGCATGCAAAAGCAGTATGCTTTGAGGTAATGTTACGCACTAGGTCAGTTTGAAGAAAATACTACTTCACAGTCAGTGTGGATGTTCAATGTACATGTGGAATTTTTGGTATAACACCTTACAGTTGGGGATATTTGTAGTATAAAGCTATGTTTTACCCTATTATTTTGCCATAATGCACTTCCAGCTCTTTATTTTTGGGCTTTCATTATGTGACTTTTTTCTAAATGTAGTGGCTTTTTTAATTAAAGGGTGGGGGTTTTTTTTGTTCCCTGGCTGCCATGTGAAAAAGTTGGAATTTTTTAATGGGAAGTCAGAACTTCAGTAATGGGCAAACCTGGATTGTAGATAACCTGTTGATTTACAGGCTACCATCTCACAAGGATTTCTTTTCTCTTTGCAGCGTTGCCTATGGAAGTACTAATGTATATTTTCCGATGGGTGGTTTCGAGTGACTTGGACTTAAGATCATTAGAGCAATTATCTCTTGTTTGTCGAGGATTTTACATTTGCGCCAGGTATTGTAGAAAAATTATCCAGAGTGAAGCTTCTCTCTGCTCTAAGGAAGAAAAAAGCCCTTTTTTACGCTCGAACATATGTAAGCTCTGTAGAGGTGGATAATAAATCCATAGAGCGAAATTGCCTGTGTTGGTAAGGTGGTTTTATGGATTTTTTTGCTTTTAGGGTGCTAAATCGTACATGTCGGAGTATGCCCTGCTTTTTCTTCCTGTGGCAATTTTCATGTTATGCTCCTCACAGTGCTAATCAGCTTTCGAATACACCACTAATGGTATGTTAGATAGATGAATTCACTGTAATAAAAGATGTTGTGGGAAGTCTTATTTGCTCTACCTTGTTTGAGATTTAGTTGCAAGATCTCCAAAGTAATGTTTGTTGTTTTGTCACTCCACACAGAGAAGTGACAGGCTGCTGCAACGTTGTTGTTCTGTACTTGGCTGAAAATGGCATTGTGTTCTTGAATTTCAGTGGGACAAGGGAGTAGCTTTCAAATGCTCCAGGACTAAGTAAATCAGTCAATGTTTTTAAATTATGAGGTATTGTTGTTCAAGAAAGTTTCAGTTGCATCCAAACAAAGTAATGGAGTATATATATACTTTGATATATAAAAGGTAAACAAGGTCTGCAGAAAAATGATGGGTTTGCTTTTTTCTCATTTTCACTAGAGATCCTGAAATCTGGCATCAAGTCTGTTTGAAAATATGGGGTAGGAGCTGCAATAAGCTTGTTCCATATGCCTCTTGGAGGGAAATGTTTCTGGAGAGGCCTCGTGTTCGCTTTGATGGTAAGGTGTACTTTTGAATATAGTTTTTTTGGGTTTTTGTACTGCATGAATCAGTGATAGAAGCAATCAGGTGGGTTTGATATTTCTGATGTTGTTAGACCTAATCTGAAATTTTTTTGGGTTTCTGAATCTGTAGAACGTCTAAACAGAAGGGAAGGGTGCACAGGAAGAAGATAAAAAACTTCCATGTATCTAAGTAACCAAAGTAAACTCAAAAGGTTTAGATTGTTGTTTTTTTCATCTTAATCGTTCTATGTACTTAATTTTTGTTCGTATAATTGTATCTTCCTGTTCTGTAGGTGTCTATATCAGCAAGACAAAATACATACGTCAAGGAGAACAATCTCTTGATGGTTTCTATAGAGCGTGGCACCAAGTGGAATATTACAGGTAGAACTGTAGTACAATGAGTGAGTGAAATGTTTCTCTCTCTTAAGTTCTTTAAATCCAGCCCTCAATATCACAAACAGTAATCATTCTGTAAAACTCAATGGAACTACCACAATGTGTAAAGCTATGTGTATTTTCTGAGAATAGGTCTTAAGAAACAGAATTTATTATTATAATTAGAGATGGGCTTAGAAACACAGTTCATCCTCAGTTAACCATTTCATGTGGTTAAAATTTAAACAGTAAGAACAGCAATACTTGTCCACAGACTTTTTTTACCCAAATTACTTGTGGTTTACATTTCTGATGTAATAATTGTTTTCAGCAAAAGGAAAACAAGTGATTATACAAGAATTGTCTTTTAACTTACTTTTAGCCAATTGTAAATAATCAATAGGCTGAGCTGTCTCAACTTGCTGTAAATACTTTGCCATTTGTTTTCACAGCCTGTTTTTATGCTGTTCTCCTCTTGCTGTTGCCAGCATTTGTTGTTCCATTTTGCTGTCCCTTCTGAGGCTGGAAGCTGTTAACAGAAACCATTGAATCTTGGGGCTATTTCTGCAGTCTCACAAACAGCAGCATAGTATCTGAGTACTGTAGAAATTGATCAGGTCCCAGAAACTGAAAAAGCCCACATGACCTGTAGTGTTAACTGTAATTAAGATTTTGATGTGTTTGTCTCAATGGATGCTCTCAGTGGAGAAACTTACTTGAGGTCAGTTTTGGTTCCAGGGTAGCCTTCTTCTGATAGAGGTGAAAAAAATCCTGAACTTCTGCACTCTTTCATAACTTGATCTTTTAATCTTCAAAACTCTCTTTTGATTTCTGGTATCTTTTTTTGTTATATCATATGTGAAGAAAGGTATTTTCAAATCCTGTTACCTAGTAAGTTCTATATCCTTCTGGGAAACATCCTGTGATTTATTAAAAAAAAACCCAGCAACCCACAGCACAACAGGAAAAAGATGTGTTTTCTACGTTTATGTTGTGTAATTATATTTTTGCAGGTATTTGAGATTCTTTCCAGATGGCCAAGTTATGATGCTAACAACTCCTGAAGATCCTCAATCTATAGTTCCTCGCTTACGGACTAAAAATACAAGGTTATTGACATAAAATTAATCTTGCTTTTACCTGGCAATTTCTGTTTACTTGTATCTCAGATTCTGTATACTGGCTTAGCAAAACAGGAGTAAAAATACAATTATTTATATTATATTACAGATATTTGTAGTTCTCTTCTGAGAATTACAAAAAAATTTTTACTTGATGCAAAGATACCTTTGAATTTAAGGTGCTGATATTGTAATTGCATTTCCTTTGCAGATTATGTGATTTTAGACTTTGAAAGAAGGTAGATGGAATAATACATGCTATTAGCTTGGTGGTTTTAGAATCCTTTTGAAGATACTATTTTGTTGTTGACTGCCTTCTCATAATTCCTTGATTGTTTGAAGGGAAGTGAAGATTTTGGTGGGATAAGACTAAATTATGGCTTGATTTCTTTATGATGTTTGCACAAACTTGCTAAAAGCAGAGAAAATTGTTACTTCAGAACAGGTTTGAGCTGTTCACTAGAAGTCTGAAAGTATTTAGCAGTAGGCTAGGTAGAACTGACTAAATTACCTTTACTGTCCTGTCTAGGAAAGTGAAAAGCAACTTTCCAAAATGTTTTCATGATTTCATATCATCAGTGAGCCTGGTACTTTACTAAATGGAAATAAAAGAATAGTTTCTTTAATTATGTTATGCAATCAGTTGTTTCATTGTTGATATTTGTATCATAAGTACATCATTCTTCTGACACAGAAAGTGTTTTTATGTCCTTGACCCTATCCTCCTCTTAACCTTCCAGAACGGATGCAATCTTGCTTGGCCATTACCGCCTTTCCCAGGAAACAGACAATCAAACCAAAGTATTTGCTGTAATAATGAAGAAAAAGGAAGAGGTAGGTAGCAAAAGAGAATAGAGGAAAAATAGTGTAAGGATGGGGCTTTTTAGTATTTTTTTTTTCCTCAGACTGAATATTTTAAGGCACATGAAGATTTGCCTTACACCAGTGGATTAAAAGAAGAATTCTTTAAATGGTTAAAAAATAAAATAAATCACCATGTTTATTTATGTCTTACATTTCTCTCTCCTCACCTACCTTACTTTCTGTGAAAACTTGTATAATTAATGTCTAAATTGATGTATTTTCAAAGAAGACCGGTACTTGCTTTTAAGTGTGAGAGTCCTCAAAGTTACTTGGGCCTCAGGATAAATAGTTGCACGATGTATTTCTTTGTAGGTCATTATACTTCCTTTCTCTTTGTACAGAAACCAATTGACTGCCCCAAATGCAGGTATTTCCGACGTGTTCCTGCACAAGAGACAGATTACAGCTTTCATGTAGGACTACAGTTGTGCTCCAGTGGGCGCCAGAGGTTCAACAAACTTGTCTGGATACATCATTCTTGTCACATAACCTACAAGTAAGTAAATGGAGAATAAGGTCAAAGAAGGATACCTGCCTACAGAAGCACAGGTCACGTTAATTTGTCCATATTAAGTACAGAAGATGTAAAGACTGTGATACTTAGGAGACTTTAAACAAATGTCCTGAAAACAGTAACTGGTCCTGATTTGACAGATTGTAATGAACTTTTACTTAAAGACATCCCAAGATTTGCTAACTTCTTATAATGGTATAGGAAGTTTCTGAAGTAGTAGAACTGCAGTATTTTAGCCATTATGCACAGTGTTTGGATGATTTCAGAACTGAATTGAATGACTTAGTGTGGTGCTAGTAAAGGGGTTTGGAAAACATGTTCATTGAGATACATTTGTTTTTGTCTGTGAATGTGCAAGCTAGAAATGTCTGCATCCATCATGTGAAAACTGTAATGTGTACTTACTATGTAATCCAGCAGTGCAAAATACAGGCATGTGTCCAGCTGTTCTTATCACTAACCAAGGAAGAGCCATGGCTGCTTTGGCTGTCCATATGTTAGATGTTGGCATTTAGGGTGGATTTAGGCCTTGTATTCCAGTCTTCTTAATCTCTGTGTTCATTGTTTTTATAGGGACATAGCTCAACTATTGAGCTGTAAGTATATAAAATCTAGGAGATGAACTACTGGTAGGTAGGAGTATAGGTAACTTCCATAAACAGAAAAATTACTTTTATAAAACCTAGTATTTTCATACCTTACTTAACGAAAAGTAGCAGTGTCACAGACATTCTTTTCAGCGTGAAGTTTCTGTACTGCTCAGGTTCTGCTCTACCTCTGGTGGTGACCGTTTGAAACCAGAATAAGGATGAGTATAAAACACAGCTAGGAGGGCATATGCTTTTTGTCAGTGATGTTCAGAAATATTTGTTTTTCTTTTTTTTAAAGTTTTGCAAACATACAAGTTTTTACTGTCACTCTGTGTTCTGAATTCAAGGATCTAAGTGAAACAAATGAAAGGGTTTTTTAACTTCAGTATTAATATGGTGACTTCAGTGACATCCTGCACTGCTTAAACTCTAGGAGCTAGCAAAAATGAAAGGGGAAAGTGGTTTCTTTGATATTAAAATAGAAGTGTATAGTGTGATTTGGCCAACATTCAAATGCTTTCAGAACAAGGCAGCATGAAAGGCATCCTAGCTGTAGTTTGGTGCACACACTGTACTGCGGAACATGATTGCATTCTAGAGGGCTTCAAACAGCAACTTGTGTCTAATTTAGCTTCTACAACACTCTTTGCAGATCCACTGGTGAGACAGCTGTTACGACTTTCGACATTGACAAAGTGTACACCCCTTTGTTCTTTGCACGAGTGAAGAGTTTTACTGCATTTTCAGAAAAGCCGCTCTAAGAAACACCTTTTCCCCTCACAGCTCTTGCATGAATAAAAGGTTGTAGCTAACGAGCACTTAAGTTATAAATGTGTATATATTCGGAACATTTTAAAATTCTGGGGAATTTTTTGAAGACAGTATGTTCTATTTGATTATGAATGGCTGGGGCTTTATTTTGAGATCAAGCTTATGAGTATTAAATACCTTTGTGACAAGAATTTGATAACAAATTTTTGTTGTTTGTTTTGTGTTTTGGTTTTTTTGGTTGTTTTGTTTTTTTTTTTTAAACAGATTTTATAAATCAGTCTGCTTAAAATTTGGATTTTCATCTGCCTGGACACTGGTTTGTCCAAAAGAAATCATTATAGGAAAATCTCACTGTCCATGGGGCAGTGTGCGTGGTCTCTGGTGAGGGCTTGAAATGTGAATAGGAGAAAGTTGTCTTATATCTGTTAAACTGTGTGATTTAAAAGAACTTCAAATAAATGTTTTCTTTAAATTAAACTTATTTTGTTTGCCTTTAAGATCTGACATTTTGTCAACATCAACCTTAAGGAAAAAAGTAAATCAAGGGCAAGCAAGCATGAAGTACAAAATTTAACCATGCAGGTACATCCCCACCAATGCAGGGATGTCAGTGATAAACGCAATTTGATTTTGATAGAAGTTCAGCGGGGCCTGCCTTGACAGGGCAGGCACGCAGGGGAGATGGGTATGGGCAGTGGATTGTTCACTTATACCGGAGGATGACTTTGCAGGATGCGTGGCTCTGCTTGGGAAGTGAGGCAGTGCAATGATGAAATGTGTGTACTGCTTGTGCATTGGCCAGGTCTGAATGCACAACTAAGCAGGGCTCACTTGGACCTGGCTGTAATGTGTTCTAACTCTTCACCTAACCTTGCTACAGATACTGTAAACCCTTTGAGCATTTGTTGTGCTAAGATAAATTTTGAGGCTGCTGTAGATGTTCAGGTGCTGTGTACTGCTAATGATGAAGTGTACCTTGAGGTTTGGTGCAGGTACTGTATGCTGCTTCTCCTGCATATGTCGCTTGGGGGTGTAGAGCAGACACCGTAATGCCGCTTATTATATATGTATCTTGGATTCTGAAAGAACTGAAGCTTTTTAGTGTAGTTTTTAAAAGCCATTTTGCATAACTTACCTTTGAACATCTCATTTGAAAATACTGACCTGGACTTGAGGACTAAAATGTGAAAGTTGTTGAAAGAACTATACTTGCTCCATAATTTATAAAGTGTATCTTTGCAAGGAGCTACATGATTAAAAATACATCAATAAATCATGATTTTGAACATACAATCCCTTGCAATTCCTTATTTTGCCAAGAAATCATAATTTTCCTGCAGCTAAAGATGATTACTTAGGAATTACCATGCATAAACTACATGCTAGGCAAGACTGACAGGTAGAATTAATATCTTAATCTCTTACACTACTTACAGGTTATCTGAGAAAAGTAGAGAAGATTTCAGGTACATGAGTTCTGAATAGGATGTGTTATATCCGAAACTTTGTGCTTTTTCTAGCTAATCTAACAAGGCTCTGCCTACAACCCTTCTTTGGCCTGTGTCCTTAGACTGCAGTTGCACTGTTACTTCATACAACAGCATTTAATAAGGAGTGTATCATGTTCTCATTGCTGAAGGGAGAAACAATTACTTAGAATATCAGCTTCATGATTTGAAATATTGCCAAGTTTGTAAATAGGGGAGCATGTTAGTTACCTACACTTTTGTTGAGGGTGAAAGCTAAAGATCTGATTCTGCCTGCTGAGGAACATCAGAAGTTTTTGTCACAAGAATCACAAGATGATTGTTTATTTAGGTATAGTTTTGTCCAGTCACCAAGTTGGATATAATAGAAAAGCCTTTTGATTGAAAGCTTTTTTCATACCAAGACTTATCTGCTGCTTCTGAGCTTTTGTTATTTTTTTCCTTGACCATGTGTTTGAAATATATTCTGGGTGCAAAGGAAAAGCTAGGTAATGTCCTGTTATAAACTGAGATTTTGGTTCAACGAAAGTCTCAGGCAATGATGATTTTAAGATTATATGAAGTATTCCTTCACCAAGAGAATTGTATGAGCCTTCTATCTGTGAGACAGCTCTGCAAGCTTAATACGCTTGTGCCTCTGCATTTAACAATGAAGAAAAGTCAGTAAGAAAGTCATCTTAGTTTTGTCTTTTGAAATGGTTCATCACCCTATACTATTAGTAGCTGTTCATGTGCAGCTATTAAAAGAGTACTTGTTTCAGCAAAGAAAACCAGTTGCTCTTCATTTGTTCTGTCTAGTGTTTTTCAATAGTCCAAGGTTTTAGTTGCTAGACACTCTGTGTTCTTATAATTTAGTTCTATTGTCCTTTGAATTGCCATGTAAAGACATTAGTTGGTAGAACTAGTTTACTCCTGGGAAGTTGTCCTTTATTAATTATATTAGTAACTTGAATAAAAGAATAAGGTATACACCTATGCAGTCCTTTTTCCCAAGAGTTTATTGTATGAGTTGAGACAAGTTCACTTCTCAAAATGGAAGGAGGTGACAATATACAAAATACAAGAGGTGACAGAAACATGGTTCTCGGAGCTGTAGATCTCTTTGATGCATTGGATTAATGACAGAATGGACAGTTCTGTGGAGAGAAGATGCTCAGAGGATCAAATGGAGATTGGCAGCAGTTAAGCCTTTGTGTGTATTGTTGGGCTGTAGGTGGGGGGAGGGAGTGGAGACGGTGTGATTCAGCGCTGGGAGCAAAGGACCAGCAGTGGACACTTTCCAACTGCTTCTGATTCACTCGGTAACCGTGAGCCAAGCTGGTCAGAATTGAAAAACACATCGTGTTTACACAAGATTTTTGATTAAAGAAAGAAAACAATAGAGTCTGCTTTTATTTTTTTAATCCAAGAAGATTCCTCTGGAATGTGTGCCAGGGTATTTGGAAACTTTCGTCGATGATAGAATGGCTGAACTATTGAGCTGCTTTTCTGTTTTGTCTTTTCTACTGCCCAAGGTGAGAAAAATATAAAAGCTTATATACATTTGCAGAACAGCTTGGGTTTCAGAAGTTAATGTTACATATATTATTTAGTATTAATAGCATCTGTAAAGAAATAGAAGACTTCCACTCGGTAGTCAGTCAGTCTGGATTCAACCTTTGTCTTTTATGTTAAGACTTACCAGCTTTCATAGTAAAACGACTTGCATATTTTTTTTTGCTTATGTTGTGGTTTAACCTGGCTGAAACCAGGAGAGCTTAAAAGGAAGTTAGTGTTTTGCCATATCTCTGTCTTGTCCAAAGCATAGTTCCTGAGTCCTTAAAATAATTCTTAAGCCCACAAGTCCTAGACACTGTTGGCTGAAGCGAAGGATTTGGAAGAGAAACTAGATTCTGTTACTGAATGGAACTTTTTGGGATGTAAAGTGGCACTCTCTTAGGTAAAACTGCTTTCAGCTCTGGTAGTATAGCCCATGTGAAAGGGTCCAGGCACGCCATGCTGACATGTACCTGTCATTCAAGGCAGTAAGAGGCGGATGTTAAAATTAAAGTACAATGTTATTTTATGGAACACTTATTCAGAGTATGAATAGAAAAATATGAAACATGCCTGATTCTGCAGACAATGCATCTTTTAGGATTGACAGCCTTCCTACCTTGGCCACTGCAGGTATTCAGACATCTTTTGAAGATGTCTGTAGCACATTCATTAATTCAGCCTCAGAATGCTCCATGAAAAATAGCTGGATACGATGCAGAGCTAAGAAAAGTAAGTCTAGTAAATCCTGCCAAATTAAATAACTCTTTAATGTGGAAAGCCAGGATAAGTAGACATTTTTTCCACACATTTTATTTCTGAATGATTTTTTTTCTTGAGACATACGAGGACTGTGGCTCCTACATGTTTCTATGCTCTATTTACATGCGAAGTAAATTTCATTAACTCTACTTGCATGATGGTAAGAGGTTGCTGAAGTTGCTAAACCAGAAGTTCTGCCTGTTTAGCTTGCAAACTTTTGGGCTTTTTTGCAAAGGAATTTCCTTGCTTGATATTTATTTATTTATTTTTCCCCAAATTAGCACTACCCTTGCAGGTCGTTGCAGCTCAGAAATAATTGAGAGCTTTGGGATGGGGCTTCCTGATGTGCGTTTACTGGTACCAATGTTGCCATTCTGCCGTTAGGTGGCGTGCCACAGTTTGTAGTCGTCCGTAGATAATAAACTAACTATATTTAATTCTCCCTACGGCTTATTTAAAATTTGAGAACATTCCAGGAAAAATAGAGCAAATGCAACAAGCGGTAGTTTAGCATCACGTTTAGCCTGCCAAGCGTTCAGCTCCTTAGGTTTCTGCACTAGTCAGACATCCACAATAACACAACTGATTGGGGATAAACAGGCCAGTTTTTCTGAGGGATTTTAAGTATCTGAATCTCAGAGTGGAGCCTCCAGTTCTGAGTTTGCTTCCCAGGCTCCAGAAGGACAGCCTCCAAATGAGATCTGAAGCAACAATATGTGAAGCCGGAACATCCTTATACGATGAAGGATGATGCACTGCAAAGAAGTATGTTTTAACCACTGGCACTTGGAGAGCGTATGTTCCCAAAGCAATGGTCATCGTTTCAGTCCCAGAATGTTTCTGTTCAGAGTCCAGGTTTGCAGGGACAAGGTTGTTGGCCCTAGCCAGGGCCAGGACGACATGCTGTTGAGGGGCTTTGGTCATCCTGTCCTGTGGTAGGGGCAATGAATCGATCTGTTCTAGAACAGCTTTAATAAGAAAGATGGAATGCCCCCCCAGAAGCCCTATAAAACTGGTAAATGTGGATTTGAATGGAGTACTGCTAGAGGAGAGAGGTGAACCCATGAGCTGAAAGTGTGTTTACCTTCTGCATGGGTCTCCCCCAGACTTTGATGCTGCATCACCTGCTGTCTTTGGGAAGGAAAAAGGAGCAATCCTTTCTCATATTTTTAAGAAGATGCTGCAGGGGTGTCTCACTGTGAGGGGAGTTCAGGAAGCTCCTCCCTACACTATTAAGAAATTAGGTTTAGGTCTAGTACTTCACACTCCAGTGTTCATTAACCTGTGTTAGGCAACTAGGATATGTAAGTGTTAACTCGTAACTCATTTCAGCTGAATCCTTCTTCCCACACCTCACTGACTTTTTGGGGGGAGGGATGTGGGATACCCAAGGAAAAGATTGTTCCTATTACACAACCTCCAAGAACACCTTTGAAATTCAGGATACATTCCACAACTTCTACACTTTGGTTTCAAAAAAATCAGTGTAAAGATCTTTAATTTGTTTGGGATAATGTGTCATGTGCCTTAAATGATAAATGCAAATATAGTGCTGCCTGGAAAATTAATCACATGGAGAACAAAATATTGACTACCCTTAAACTCACCTTGAGTACACATACTAGTAATTGACAGTGTCTAGACAGATGATGATCTGGAAAGTAAAGTCTGGGAAAAATAAAC